TCCCCTTGGAGGATCAACAGTTTGTTCATGCTTCTATGACTCTGGGTCTATTTTGGATCATTAGTTTATTTGGTTCATTAGATTCCACATATGAGTGAGATCATGTGACACTTATCTTTCTCTGACTGGCTTATCTCACTCAACATAATACTCTCCAGGTCCCTCCATGCTATTGCAAATTGTAAGAGTTCTTTCTTTTTTATTCCTGTGTAGTATTCCATTGTTTAAATGCACCATAGTGGGGTGTTTTTCCCCCATTGACGTCTCCTCCCCCTCCCCCCCAGGTCTTTACCACCCTATTGTCCATGTCTATGGGTTATGCATATAAGTATATGAGTTCATTGGTTGATCTCCCCCCGAATCCCCCTCGCCCTCCTTCCCCTGTTTGATGTTTCTATGTTGCTTGGTCTATTTTTGTTCATCAGTTTATGTTGTTCATTACATTCCACATATGAGTGAGATCATGTGATATTTATCTTTCTCTGGCTGGCCTATTTCGCTTAGCACAATTCTCTCTAGGTCCATCAGTGTTTATCTTGGGAAGTTCTCCAATAAGCAAAGTTACATCGCTCCATGTTGTATATTACAGGATAACCTGAGATTTATTTTTTATGGTGAGATGCATATTCGGTTACAACTCCTTTGAAATTTCTCTAGGCAAACTCATTGCAACCCTGCCCGATCGCATAGAAAATTAGATTTTTTTTAATATATATTTCTTATTTCAGAGAGGAAGGAAGAGGGAGAGAGAGATAGAAACATCAATGATGAGAGAGAATCATTGATCAGCTGCCTCCTGCACACCCTCTACTGGGGATCGAGCCAGCAACCTGGTCATGTGCCCTTGGCCAGAATTGAACCTGGGACCCTTCAGTCCACAGGCAGATGCTCTCTCCACTAAACCAAACCAGCTAGGGCAGAAAATGAGATTTTGATGACTCAAATTTACATCTTACAGGGATGCTGGCCCATATAAAGTTATCTCTCAGCCCTCCTCTATGCTATTGTCATGTACCAATCTATTCTGGCACATTATGTAATCTGATTCCTCAATTTTCATAATAACGTTTTAATTCTATCCTCTGTCTCTATTGATTTTTTAAAATACTGTTCATTGATTTAATTAGCAATATATATTACATGTTATGTTACCTTAACTCACTGATGCTCAAAGTTTTTTAAACCTCCATTAGGGGAAACACAATATTCATTAAAAATGTCTGAAATACAGTTTAACTATACCTGTAGAATCTCTCTCTCTCTCTCTCTCTCTCTCTCTCTCTCTCTCTCTCTTTCTCTCTTAAATGGAGAATTGCATTCCTGAAATCAAACTGCTAAGCCCCTTATCTGTTATTTCTATTACATTGTACTTTGGTATTTTGCCAATAGCTGAGCAAAACTATATGAAACAATTTTTAAGAGTTGGGTGTTTACTCGAAGGATATTTTTGAGGACGAAATTCCCTGCGTCCTCTCAGTGTCTTCTCCAGGAAGACCTACCGTGGAAATTTCCACTCTGCCTCAATACCAGTGTCGTTTTACTTCTTCCCAGCGAATCTTCCTCTCAGCGCTGTCCCTCACAGCAGTGATGATTTCCCCCTTTTCATGTTTGCTTTCTGAAAGCAGAAAACAACATTTATGTCTCTGTGCCAATAAACCAACACGATCTGGCAGCACAGTTTTGTGTAATAAACCCAATTCAGGTGTGATTTTATCATTCCTGCCTTCATTTTCTCACCTGCTAAGTTTAAACTTTATTTTATTATATTTATGTCTTTTAATAATCTATTTTAAATTCTTCCCGGAACAAAGAAAGTGCTGTTTCAGGCCCTTAAGGAAACCTTTCTCTGAATGTGTTTCCTGCTAAATCAAATAAATTCAGAGGGCATTCAGTAGCCAAGTAGAAAAAAAAAAGTGATTAATCGCAGGGTCCTCCTTTAAATGCTACTCTTCAACCCACTCAACCAGCCTGTATAGAATGTTGCTGCAGGGCAAGAGAGAATAGATCTTTTGTAACCCATTTGAAGGCTGTTTAATCAGCCTTGAATCTATGATCTGGGGAAGCTCAGGTAGATGAGTGGGGTAAACATGAACACGTCCTCTGAGAGGTCAGTTTGGGGTATCTGCCCAGGAGTCTTCGCCCTGAGATATTAGCCTCAGGAACCATGGCTGGGACGGATTCAAGCTTCAGCAGCAATGGTGCCTGTGCAGCATCCCAGGCGGAACCTTGGCTATTCCTGATCTCATTGTGTCGGTCCTAGTCCAGCTCACAATTCTTCGCTCCAGATGGTGAACAATTGGCTCTAGGAGCCCCATGCTTTCCACTCAGTACATTCCTTTTCTGTTTCAGATACAGATCCTGTTCGGTGGGTTGTCTTCAGAAATCTTGATTTCTACACGGGGCCACGCTCACTTTCTCAAGAAGAGAGGCTGCCACTCTGGGATTCTGGGAGGCCTCACTTTCAGGTTCAGAAAGTAACTACTATGAGGCTGATAGCTGGCAAGTGGTCCCAGCCTTGAGATACATTCTGACAGAGGGGGGAGTTTGTTTCCTGTCAGAAGATGCTAAAGAACACAAATGCTATTTCTCCTCTTTATTCCTAAAGATGCTTGGGGGGGGGGGGGGGGAGGGTTATTTTCTGTCAGAAGATGCTGAAGAACACAAATGCTACTTCTCCTCTTTATTTCTAAAGATGCTTTTAGCTTCAAATAACAGAAATTACAACTCAAAATGGTTTAAACAACAGCACTATAAGAACTGAAGCGTATATGATTTTTGTGGCCCTCTTCAGGCAAAATTATAAATTTCATCACCCTAGCCGGTTTGGCTCAGGGGATAGAGCGTCAGCCTGTGGACCGAAGGGTCCCAGGTTTGATTCCAGTCAAGGGCATGTACCTTGGTTGCAGACTCCTGCCCAGCCTGGGCTCTGGTCGGGGCTAGTGCAGGAGGCAACCAATCGATGTGTTCTCTCACATTGATGTTTCTCTCTCTCTTTCCCTCTCTCTTTCACTCTCTCTAAAAATCAATGTTAATATCCTCAGGTGAGTATTAACTAAAAATAAACAAATAAATTTCATACTGCTAGGCCACTCTGTAGGTCTTATGCATTAGAAACACCCTGATTTTTAAGCTTCATGTTAAATCTACCTCAAAAAAATTATTTATACCTCCCATCACTAGAAATCTAGAAGTAAATTTATAATAGACAAAGAATTCAGCAGCTTAATGATATCCTCCACAATAAAAAACCATGTGTCGTGATTTTTTTTAGGGTAGGAGGTTGAGAGGCAACATTTTCACTTTGGAGATGTTATCTCAACATACCCTAGACAACTAGAGCCCTAAAAGCATCACTGAAGTGAGAGGCTGTTAATTTTCACTGAGTTTATCTATAAACTTCTGACACAACTATGTCATCTAGTAGATGGCATCTAATAAACTTGAAACTTCCTGTACAACAAAGTCAATCAGTCTGATATAGTCAATCCAGTGTTTCAACATGAGTTCCTGAGGGATAGTGAGGCTGTCACCTTTCCTGTAGTTGAGACTGTGCAGAGAGCATAAGAAATCACAGCGTAAGAGCTCAGAGGTAAGACTGTGAAAGCATGTGCTATCCTTCCCAAATGAAAACAAATGGCTTCAGGCAGTCTTTCCTCATCATTACAGAGGAAAGAAGTTGTTTGGTGGATAAATAACAGTATGTCAGGCCCAAGAGGTGTTGTTCATTCACTACAGAAAAGAGACTATCAATAAAATAGTAGTTATCATTGTAATCATCCCCTATTTAAGTCTTACAATCCAAGTGTCATTCTCCAAAATCAACTGATCTTGGGTCCAGGCCAACCAGGTGAGTGTTATAGGAATAATTATATTTATACTAGAGGCCCAGTGCACAAATTCATGCATGGGTGGGGTCCGGCCAGGCCGGGGGACTTGATCAGGATGGAGGGGAGGGGCAGGGCCAGCCATGGGGAAGGGCTGTGGGAGGTTGGCCAGCCGGCCCCACCCACACCACGTCATAAAGACTGGTTGTTCCAGTCATTTGGTCGCTTGGTTTTTATATATATAGATGGCTTTTATATATATAGATATATGTTTGACACTAATATTTGAAACTCCCCCCAAGATAGCTAGATGAACTAAGTAAGGCTTTTGAAATTAAGAAATATTATTTGTCTCTTGACAAAGCCTAGGTTTTAAGATTTATCTCACCATGAATTGTAAAGGTCAACTGAGAGTTCAGAACAGGTGGCTGACAGGACTTGAGTGAGGAAGAGAGTGTGAGTGAGTGAGGGAGTGAGAGGGTAATTGTGTGGGTGAGCGTGAGTGTGTGTGTGTGTGTGTGTGTGTGTATGGGACAGTACTATAGCGCGGAGCCTGGCGGCATGTGGTAGGCACTCTCCTGGCCAAAGAGCCCCTGCTACCACCACAGCCACTCCCCAGGCTCACCTCTGGCTTGGAGACTGCGCCATCTTGAGTGGGGAGCAGCAGCAGCTAGGTGCCAACATAATATTCCATGAGCAAACACTAAAAGTGTTTCCCTTAAGAACAGAAACAAGACAAGGATGTCCTCTTTCAGCACTCTTATTCAGCATAGTACTTCCAAATGTAAAGGAGAAAGTAAAACTGTCATTATTCTCAGATGACAAGATATTGTACACAGAAAACACTAAAGACTCCATCAGGAAACTACTAGACTTAATAAATGAATTTGTCAAGGTAGCAGGATACAAAATCAACATCCAGAAATTGATGGCATTTTAATACACTAATAATGAACTCTCCAAAAGAGAAACTGAAAACAATATTCCCATTTACCATTGCAACAACAACAAAAAATAAGATACCTAGGAATAAATTTAACCAAGGAGGTAAAATATCTGTACTTGGAAAATTATAGGACATTGAAAAAAGAAATAGAGGAAGATACAAAAAAATGGAAACATATACAATGTTGGAAGAATTAAAATCATTAAAATGTCTATACTACCCAAAGCAATCTATAGATTCATGCAATCCCTATTAAAACATCAATGACATACTTCTTAAAACTAGAACAAATACTCCAAAAATTAATATGGAACCATAGAAGACCCCAAAAAGCTGCAGCAATTTTGAGGAAGAAGAACGAAGTAGGACAGATTGCAATACTGAATATCAAACTATATTACAAAGCCATTACAACCAAAATAGCTTGGCACTGGCACGGGAACAGGGATATAGATCAATGGAACAGAACAGAAACCCCAGAAATTGACCTACACCATTGCACTAAATTAATATTTGACAAGGGAGGCAAGAACATACAATGGAATAAAGACAGCCTCTGCAACAAATGGTGTTGGGAAAACTGGACAGACAAATGCAAAAAGATGAAACTAGACCACCAACTTACACCACACACAAGAATAAACTTAAAATTGATAAAAGACTTCAATGTAAGGCATGAAACCATAAAAATCTTAGAAAAAAACATAGGCATTAAAATCTCAGACATTTCACATAGTTTAACTTTTGCCAATACATCTCCTAGAGCAAAGGGAATAAAGGATAAAATAACGAGACTACATCAAAATAAAAAGCTTCTGCACAGCAAAAGAAACCACCATCAAAATGAAAAGGGAACCCACTTCATGATAGAACATATTTACCAGTGATACATCTCATAAGGGATTAATTTCCAAAATATATAAAGCACTCATACAACTCAACAAAAGGAAGACAAACAATCCAATTAAAAAATGGGCAGAAGACCTGAATAGACATTTCTCCAAAGAGGACATACAAATGGCCAAGAGACATATAAAAAAAATGCTCAAATTCACTCATCATTAGAGAAATGCAAATTAAAACCACAATGAGATATCACCTCATACCTGTCAGAATGGCTATCATGAAAAAAATCAACAAACAACAAGTGCTGGCAAGAATGTGGGGAAAATGGAACCCTTGTTCATTGCTGGTGAGAATGCAGACTGGTGCAGCCACTATGGAAAACAGTATGGAGTTTCCTCAAAAAATTAAAAATGGAATTGCCATTTCATCCAGCAAGACCACTTCTGGAAATATATTCTAAAAATCCCGAGACACCAATCAGAAAAAATATATGCACGCCTAAGTAGCATTATTTACAATGGCTATGATTTGGAAACAGTCCAAGTGCTCATCAGTTGATGAATGGATAAAAAAGGCTGTGGGACATTTACACAATGGAATACTATGAAGCTGTTAAAAAGAGAGGTCTCTTACTCTTTGGGACAGCATGAATGGACCTGGAGAATATTATGTTAAGTGAAATAAGCCAAACTGAGATAGAAAAATACCACATGATTTCACTTATTTGTGAAATGAATTGACCAATAAAATAAGACCCAAAGCACTGAGGCATAGAACGGATTGACATACCTTGATGTGGGGTTGGGGGTGGGGGTGAGAGTTGATAAACCAAAGTATATGTGCATATTATATACTTATATGCAAAGCCCATGGACACAGGCAATAAGGTGGTGATAACCTGGGGTGGGGGTAGGGGCAGGGAGGACAGAGGTAAAAGGGGGTAAATCAAAACAATATTTTGATTATGTAATACTATCAACAATAAAAATATGCATAAAAATAAAGGTCAACTGAGAGTCAAAGTAGAATCATAATCTTTTTGTTCTAGAATTGTTTTTTCCTCTCTTCCCTAACATTTAAATCTTTTTGAAAGAGAGTGGCTTATAGACAAGGAAGATACAGAAAGTGGTAAAAAGTACTCCCATTAAAATCACTTTCTCAGGAAAGCCTTCCCAAATATCATCTCTCCCACTCCAAGATTCATTAGATCCTTCTTTGAGACTCTCCCTACTCTTCCATTATACTTATAATTATTGATTAGGTATTTCTAATTATATATATTATGACTGAGATTCATCAAAGCATGAACAATGTCTCTTTATTTTATTACTGTTGCCATAGCATTTGGTGCAAGATTTGTCTCATTGTAAACACACAATAAATTTTGATTGTCTGATTGAATTACCTTTCATTATATTTTCCAAATTTTTCTCTCAAGTTTCCATTCCAGAATTCCTGTAGGTTCCAGGATAAAGTCTGAAATACCCTATATATTTAAAACCTAATTTCTTATATTATATTTTAAATTCACTCTATTATAAAACATTTGTGCTTAATTGAACAGCAATATGTGTGTGTGTGTGTGTGTGTGTGTGTGTGTGTGTGTGTGTGTGTGTGTGAAATCTCTAAGGTATAAATACGTGTGAAGATGCACCATGGATTATCCAACATCATTCAGCATTTTCTGCCAATTTGTGTGAGACTGAGGATTGTCCTGACTTCTATTCTAATTCTCATCCTACCTCTTTATAACACTACTTTTATAACTTTTTATATATCACATTAAATATTTTGATTATGTAAATGACAAGATTAAATGGTCTCAGAGTTTAAAAAGTACCCAACCAACTAAATCACATGGTATTCCATCTTCTACCTTAGGAATTGAGACTGTATAACTTCCCTGATCATGTAAAAGTAGAATCATTTTCACAACCCAGAAGTTTTTCCTCATGGCTAATTAAATTGTAAGCTTCGTGAGTGTAATTTTATCTCCAATTATAGGGACTTTTAAAAGAGCCAGTCCTCATTGATTAATAAATCTTTTCAAAGTTGTACTTCATTTTTTAACATTTCTACAAAGTGTTTGAAACTTTATATTGTGATTATATTAGTCCTGGAATAAGACTAAAAAGAACAATGTAAAAAAATAATACAATTACTGCCCTGGCAGGTGTGGCTCAATAGGTTGGTGTCACCCCAGGTTGCCAGTTCAATTCTGGGTCAGGGCACATGCCCAGGTTGCAGGTCCCATCCTTGGTAGAGGATGTGCAGGGGGAAGCCCATCAGTGTATCTCTTCTTCTCTCGCCCTTCATCTCTCTCAAAAAATCAATAAGAAATACAATTATTGTTTTAAGATGATAAGATTATGGGTGTTTTGTAAAGTGATACAACTTACTGTAAAAGATTGTTAAAAGCTTTTTATGTTAAAATTTAAATTTAGTAACTTTAACCATTATCAAGTCATGGCAAATCTCATTGATCTGTACCTATACCCACTTCCCTTCTCCTGTTATTTTTAAGCAAATCCTGGGCACCTTATCCTTTACCCTTAAGTAATTGAAGACACATTCTAAAAGAACTAATTTTAACAAAACCACAATACTGTTTTCACGTCTTAAACAGTAAACATATTTTCTTAATTTTATCAAAGACCCAGTCAGTGTTCAAATTTCCAAGACTCGGATAACTTTTTACTTTTATAGTTTATTTGATTGACTTGGGGTGAAATAAGATTCACACATCGCAATGGGTCATTGTGTTTTGAAAACCCCTTTTAACTGGTAGGTTTTCTTGTTCTCCCTGTCCCAGGACTCTCTTCCTCGCTCCCTCTCATTGCTTCTCACCCTCGCCCTCTCCAGCTCTCCCTCTTTCCTTTACTATTTTTTAAAATATATATTTTATTGATTTTTTTTACAGAGAGGAAGGGAGAGGGATAGAGAGTTAGAAACACCCATAAGAGAGAAACATTGATAAGAGAGAAATATCGATCAGCTGCCTCCTGCACACCTCCTACTGGGGATGTGCCCGCAACCAAGGTACATGCCCTTGACCGGAATCGAACCTGGGACCTTTAAGTAGGCAGGCCGACACTCTATCCACTGAACCAAACTGGTTAGGGCTTTCCTTTACTCTTCATTGTCAAGGAAACTGGGTTGCTTGTCCTGTAGAGGTTTGTTTCAAACTTTGGTTTCTGCTGAAATTTTTAAAATGCAAATCTTATTCTGAGATTTGTGTAAACAATTTGCATCTGTGAAATGTTTCACCAATTTCAGATTTGGCTCACATTTAACTGACAAATTACATTTATATGGTGAATCATCAAAAGACATATGTGTTCCTATGATTAGAGGGTTCTGCATTGGTCTAAACTTTTAGATTTCTCACACAAACACACAAAACTATATTATTGTTATCAAGAAGAGTTAAATCAAACAGATAGACGTATTCATTTTTGAGTTATTTCTAGCTCCAGTTAGGAACCGATCCCTGATGCTTTCTCTCCCCCACACCCACACCTTTGTACCCATGAGCAACATTTGTTCGTTTGACAGCAAAATATTAACCCTGGAAACTTCTATTGACAGAATTCTATTTCATCTTTATTTAGTAACTTAATCTCCATAAGACCAATAGCAACATGATTTCATTTGACACCAATCTCACCTCAAACTTGACCTGAAAGTACATGATTATTTGTGATAACTTTGTGCCCATTCAAGTGCATGATGGATTTTGACTTTTCCTCAAAGTTTATTATGGGCAACATGTCACAATGCAAACAGAAAAATATAGTAACAGACGTAGATTTTTCCATCAAGGTCATTTACACACCAGGCTCCCTGTTCTCTTCTTCACTATTGCCTGAAGTGAGATAACCCTTCACTTGAACTGGCTTGAACTGGCAACTGTTTCATCACCAAG